ATTTGCTCGTATAAACTCAACTGAGATAATGTGGACACTGTTTGTTTTTGTAGCAATAACAACACTGTTTTTGCTAAGTGAACCACAAAATTTTAATGAGTGTAAGTTGATAGCTGACGTCGCATTTCTTGTTGATAAAAGCGGTTCTATTTCTCAAAGATTTAGAAAAGACAGTAACCGTGACATCACTCTTGCTAATGAGAGAATCAATATTGTTAAAAGTTATATTTCAAAAATAGTAAATATTTTACCTTTAGGTAAAAATATGACACGAACTGTTATTGTTACTTTTAATAATAACACCAAAATTCACAATAACTTCAGTGAAAATTCTTCTCATGATCGCATTTATTTTAATAAAGTAATAAAAACGGTAGAGTTTTTAGAAACTGACCTAAAAGCAGGAACTTTCCTTGGATCAGCTCTTAAAAAAGTAAATAAAACTTTTCAAGTTAGAGATCCAAGTCAAAAAAACAGAAAGAAAATTATAGTTCTTATAACAGACGGGACGCCTAGCCCACAAGATAAGTGGGATGCCTACGATGTTGCTCAAAAGCTAAGGGGTATGAATCCTCCATATCATTTAATTGCATTTGGAATTGGAAATTATGATGAAAACAAGCTAACAAACTTAACGGGAGATAAAAAATTAATATTTAAAGCTTCAAGTTTTGAAAAACTACATAATCAGCTGAAAAGTTTTGCCGATAAAATATGCACTGTTGATTGTGAATTTACTGAGTGGGTGCCTTGGGGAAATTGCACACTCGCAGATGAAAGACAAATTTGGAAACGAGAAAAAGTCAAAGTGTCTCATAACGGAGGAGAAGAATGCTATCCTTTAGAAAAGGAATCTACATGTCAACTAGTACTGAATAAAAATAAAGAACCCGTAGATAAAAATAATGGCTTAATTATTAATAAATCTTTAAAAAAGGAAAGTACTATCATTACCAGTAGAGAAAAAGAGAAATACAAAAACAAGGTGAAGCTTGAAAATACACAGGAGTTATATAGAACTGCTAATCCAAAAGTACACAATGAAGATTATACACAGAGAAGGAAGAATATTTTACCTTTAGCTGTCGGTCTGGCTATAGGCTCAGTTGCTTTAGTTAGTGGGATTACAGGGCTTGCCTTTTACTTGAAAAAAAAAGGCAAGGAAGAAAAAGAAAGTTTCTCAAACAACGATATGGAAGCTACAAAAGCTAATAACCCCATATATAAGGATCTTTGGAAATCTAAAGATAATCCTGCACTTTACTAAAAAGTTTTATAAAGTCACCAAAATTATTGTGATCTTTCACCTCCTCACTACAACAAAAATAAAAAAATTTTTCTAACAAAAAGGTTTTTCGCTAGAAATATGTTTATAAAAAAAAAGTATAACGCGTTTGTAGAATTGGAATAACAGCCAACTTTTTAAAGAGTTACCTTGATTAACGGTTTAACGAATTTTCTTTTAATACTTTCCTTAACAGTATAAACAAAATTACTAAAATTTTATGTATCATTAAACTAATTTTACTTCTTCTATTACAAGCGAGCTACACAAGAGAAAACCTTTTACTTGAATTATTTAGACTATATAAACTTAACTTGGACTGCCCGGTTTACTCTCTTTTAAGAAAACTTAGAAGAGTTCTTCTTTAGAATAATTTACAGCATTAGCGAAACTAAAAAGCGTTAAGTTATAACTTCAAAATAGCTGTTTCCTATTAACGCCCTTTATATTCTTCTGTAGTACTGAATAGCTTCTCGTAGATAATAGAATAGTCAACAAATTAAGGGGTATATTAAAAAAAGATCTAATTTTCAGTTCTAAGATTATAATAACTATTGAATTTCCTCATTCAATTCTCTCCTTTGAGATGCTCTTCTCTTTTATAAGCCAGTTAACAAAAAAGTCCAATAAACTATATTGATTTTAAAAAAAAAATAATTTTTTGGTTGACCTGCTTTTCTCTTATAATCTATCTCTTTAAAACTCTATTTTTTTTTTTTTGAGATTTTTAATAACCTCTTCTTTTGCTTTATTTCCTTAGATTTATCGAAACCTACAACCCTTTAAAAGAAACTTCAAGTGTTTAACAAGATGAGATTAAGGTGCTATTTACAGTTGACCTCGCCTAAAACGAACCCCTCGGTTAAAGAGAATCCAACCTTCGGTCCCGGTACCGTTCTATATTGTCTCATGTACAAAATGTCGGTTATATTGAACCGATTGAAATCGATAACAGAGCTTAAAACATGATTTTTCGTGCTGAATTCTTTTTTATTTTTTTCGAAATTTTCTCCTGCAAACTAAAATATTTTTTTGTATTCAGTCTGTAGAAATATGTCGAAACTAAAAGGTTTAATTTAGCTAAATCTACATTGTCTATTGTTAAAATAAACAGAGGAAAAATTAAAAAAGAGTAAGAGGAAAACACTTCGAGGCGAAAAAAGTCAAATATCGACGCAGGATGAAGTAGATCAAGCTTTATTACAATGAAACACATTAAAACGGTATGAGGAAATCCGATGAATGGGACTTTGCTACACACTTAAGCAGAAGAAACAGGGGGCGGCAGGATTGGTAAAAAAAAGTTACAACATTTTATCGGGTAAAATTATTAGAAGAGCAAAAAGGTGGATCAGCAAGAAGTTATGAATGGTTAAAAAACGAAAGGCCAAAAATTAGTGAGGGTTAACAAAACCAACAATATTTTTTAAAGGAAAAAATGAAATTTTTTTTATTGATAAGCTTCTGTTCAGGCTTTAATATTTAAAATAAGAAATATGAGGGTGGAAAATTGTCGAAAAAAAGATTAAAATTTGATATATTCCTCTTTTTTTAACCATGCCAAACGCCTCCCGGTTATTTGTGCCTTTAATAAAATTTTTAGATGACTTTAATGTTATTTGAGACTGAACCAAGGCGGTTGGATAGAGAATAAAATGGTGAGAATTCACTTTTACTGAATAATTTTTGGCTCACCCTAGAGTGATGAATTAAAAAGCATAAATTTAGTTTTCTTACCTTAAAATGTTACATTAAAACTTCAACCTATGGATTGAGTGTGATAAGAAGTTTTACTTGTCCCTATCGCGAATAAGTCAACTTTTGCTTAATACTTGGGTATGATTCTGACGAAAAAGTTCTCATATTAGTCTTGGATGCAGTACGCTTTGCTAGAAAAGCCCTGCTAAGTGTAACACCTACTACAATATAGAATTGTTTTCGTCACGCTAAATCAGCAGTCGGTCTTGTAGCTTTTGTATAGGAGGACGATTGATTTATGTCGCAGTTAATTCAACTTTAGAATGTTCTACTTGAAGAAAATATGATTATAGATTACTTTCTTGTGGAGGAAGTGATATCTTACTAAATTTTCAATGAGGCCTCCATTGTAGAGTCGGTCAAGAACTTAAGCGTAAACGAGTTTGTCAAGGTCGAGGACTTTGAAGGTGAAGGTGTGGAGGCTCATGGGGGTGTCGAACAGAGGACAGCAAAAGGAGCGTTAGCGGAACAAAAGACCATTAAACGTTATCTAGAATCAGTCGATGCAAGTAAGTCGGGTCTGTTGAATGCGCTTCCCATGGACTTAAAATAATTTTTGTCACAAACGCTTTGAAAGAGAAGTAGATAATCGATTAAAGAGTATTTTTTAAATAGTTTTGAATAAAATTTTTAACGGGATATTTAATGAAAACGGGCTTATATTGAAAAAAATAGAGCATTTTTATTGTCTTCCTATTTTTTGCAACTTTTCCGTTTTTAGGCGACTTCGGTTATAAAGAACAGAAATAGCCGGTCCCCTGGAGTTCGTTGTAACCGAAGTCGACTGTATTTAGTTTAAAATTATATAATAATTCTTTAGAAAAAAATACTAAATTATTGCATAAATCTGTAAAAAGTAACTTTTACTATTCCTTTATTTAGAAACAATTTCACATACGAAACAAAGTGGTAAGAAATAAATGTCGGGTTAAATTTAATAAAGTTTATGAGCCGTCGGTTTTGTTGCTCAAAGATTTGAAGACTTTTATTAGCGCTTTACAACTAGTGCGTTTTTATTTCGAGTACAAACTAATTCTCGCTTATTTTCAAAGGAAATCGCTTTACGTGTTACCTTTAAGTATAACCAAACTCAATTATTAAAAACCATATTGTTTAAAGCGTAAAAGTTTGTTAGTAAATTTACAAAAATTTTTTATTATTAAGGGTTTATCGTTAATAAAATAGACAATCCAGGTTTAAACTTTTATAAAAGCTATCAATCATTTTAAGAGTGCAAGTGCGTTTATATCCTTAATAATTTCTATACTAAAACAATATTTAAATAATTGGAAAGTTAGTAGAAGAAGAACTCTTTAAAATTTAGTGCTCCATTTACTGAAAATATTAATGCTTATAAACCCGACGGAACTTTTAATATAAATTATAATCTCAAAGCCTTTATGGAGTTTCTTTCGAGAGACTTCAGTCCAGTAAATTATAATTTAAAGTTATAACTCCTAATTGATTTAATGGGTGGCAAATCCTTTAAAAAAATCGGTTCTCTGTCTTTCTTTTTTAAACATCTTAAAACTTTTTTTTATAAAAAAAATTATTAGTCTCGAATAAAAATTTTTAGTTTGTTTAAAAACAATGAATTTCCGGTGAAAAATATTTATTAGCAGCATATCTCCTACAAAGTAAGGCCATAACAACACAACACTTAACACTATTAAACAATTTTTTTTAACTATATTAAAATATTAAATTGTATATAAAAAAAAAATAAATTGCTTAGCTTAAAATTTTGTTATAGTGTATGTTATTCAATAAATCCCTCATATAAATTACTTAATATTATAACTTATTTTGGTGACCTTCCGTAACGTCAAGTAAGTAAAAATAAAATTTAAGAAAAATATAAACATTGAATTTTATTATATAAAAAATAACCTTAGATAAAAAATATTAAAAAAAACTATTAATGGATTATTAAAAAAAATTTAATTGTTCAGCGAAATTGAAGTGGTAGTAACAGTGGTTTCGGTATTTGCAAAATTATAAACAGTAGTTTCGGTAAAGTTTTTTTCTGTTTCTGCTTCGTCTCCAGAAGAGCATTGTACTTTTAGTAAATAAATACAATTCAAATAAAATTTATATTAACTAAAAACCTAGACCATTTTCTTTAAACTTCGCCAAATGAAGTTCTAATAATTTTCTTTTTAGCTATATTTTATATGTTTATTTGAAGTTTTTATTTAATTTTTTTTTATTTACCTCAGCTCGTTTTTGAATTTTTTCTAATCTCAACTTTTCCATAGCTTTTTCAGTTGCCTTCTTCCTGCGCTGTTCCTTACGTTTTTTAAAACCAGTAAGATACTCCCTCAAATCAAACAAATATTAACTTAAACTTTTAAAAAAATCTATAATGTATTTAAATTAAAAGTTTTTACTTTCTTTCCTCTTCATCGAACGTTAAAACCAAAACGCGCGAACCTCTATTGGTATGATCTTTTCTTACAATATTTTTTCTTTTTGAAACCATTAGTTATATATAATTATTATTATAATTTTTATACTTGGTAAATTGTGGTTTATAAGCCCATATAAAAATTTAGCACTCCTTTTTCATTAGTTTACGGTGAGGCGTTAATATTAATAGAAGGGAAGACAATTTATTAACTGCTATGTAACCCAGACAGTACACGTGCACGTTAATAATTTCGTGCAATTAATAGAATTGCAAAAACATTACTGTTTCAACCAAACAGAAAAATATCAGTTCTTTTTGTTTTGAGGTCATATTAAAACTTTATCTTAGGAAGGTAAAATAACTTTCCTATTTAAAGAAAAGAAGAAAGTGAATTAATAAAAAGCAAGTAACAAGGAATAATAAAAGTTAAAGTTGGTTGTTTTTTTAAAAATAACTGGCATACTGCAAAGTTGATCTTAAGGATCACTTATAAAGATATTTTATTCGCTTAAGTAAAAAATAATAGACCCCTTTTTAAAAGCTAGAAGTAGCTGAATAAGTTTGAGCTTAACTTTAGATATTTAGCTTAATAAGGTTTTTATAATAAACACAGAAAATCATAAGCATTAAAGTCAATTATTTTTTACTTATTCATATACTGTCCAGCAGGGGTTCACGTGAAAAACAAGATATACACACACATTTTATATGTAGTTAATCACTATTAATGTACGAACTGCACAGCCCGGTCTTTTTTGCTTTTGGCTTTTGGGTGGAGTTGTAGAGTAGTTTGATAAACTAGCTATCTCTTTTTATATCAATTTTATTGTTATAAGCGCTATAATCAAATTGGGAGGTTCCCCGAGTGGTGGGTTTTTACGACCGTTTTTATAAATTTCTTCAAAATTCGTCATCGCTACAAACCTTGTCCAAGATTTTATAATAGTTTACAAATGGTTTCATTTTTTGTAATAGGGAAGGTATTGTAAATGTACAAGCCATTTTACCTTTAGACTAATATAGCTTTTTCTAATAATGCTTATCAATTAAGAACTAGTTCTATATAAAATGTTTTGTAACGTAATTTTCATGAACTTTTTTTTCTAAATATAGCTCAACTAGCTTTAATCGGGTCAAACACTTTTCAATGGCTCGTTAACAGTTTTCTTGCTAGACTCCATTTCCATATTATAAATTCTAAAGAGATTTAACATTGACAGCACTCAGAAAGAAACATTTTTTAATGTTAGTTTTATTATATATCTTAACTTTATAAAACATATAATATAATTATCGTTATAAAAGCAAAGTTATGGCTTCGTTGAAGAACAAGCAAGACTTTTAATGTCCATTATCGCTTTCTTTTAAATATTAAAAAAGTATATAAATTTTCTTATTTATTTAGAAAATTTTATAATTTTTTGTGCTTCTTTAAGGTTTTATTATTTGTTGGAGATGCGTACACAACCAGTAGAAGATTCTGTCTAAACTGCAGCCAACTGTTAAGAGATTGTAGACAGGACACATACTATTTAGAGTTTGGTTGCTTTCTATTTTTGAATTGAAACTACTTGTGGGCATGCTTTTAATCTTATATTTATGTTAGTTGGAAGTCCTGCCCACCCAAGCAATTTCAAGCTTTCGTGCTAGAGTAGACTAAGTTAGTAAATTACTGATTCATTCTCAACCTATTTTGCTAACAAGCGCTATAGTTTAATACTAGTGAACTACCCGTAGGGGATTTGGAAATAACATATTTAAAAATTTAAAATTATAGTAAAAATTTATTAACATCTATAAGTCACCTCGTTTGCATTTATCTCAATACTGTCTTTTATATAATATCTTTATTACTGCTAGTTTATAGACTTTAACTATAAAATTTGTTTAATGTAAGATGAAGAGAGTCTGTACAATTTACTGATTTTTAGTAAAATGAATTCAATTAATAGACAAGATAGTATAATACTGTTACCTGTCTCTTTTTACAGCCATTACTGCTTTATGTAGGTGTAATTATCTTTAAAATAGGGAATAGACGTAGAGTTGACAATAATAGATTTAATCTATTACTAAATTATATCCGAAGAGTTTAAGTAAAAAAATATATAAATTAATCATAACCTTGATTTATTACTCTTTTTTCTTTGAGATTTTAGTCTAGTGAATTTTGGTTATTACTACCAACTTCCTTTTTTTTCCTTTTGTAGTAAAATTCAAGGCTGAAGGCTAAGAGTATTTACTTTATTCGTATAGTAATCTAATTTAATATTTAAGCTATTTGTCTTTAAGAAAAAGTCTGTAATATCAGTGGCATAAATTAAGGTAATTTTTTGTTATATATTAAGGATATACTTTTAATTAGATATTAGCTAAAATTCAATAATATTTATAATATTTGAATTGCGTTGTCAAAAACGGGCGCTACTGAACGGTTTTATTAAACATCTTTTAAAGAGTCCTCGGTAACCAATCTGGGAGGGGTTAAAACTGGTAAAAAAAAATTGCTGATGCGTTTTTTAGATGAAGGTAATTAATGCCATATTTGGTATGAAAATGTACGATTCTTGCACGAGCGGACCATATATAGATATACACTTAATAGCACTAGCTTGAATCTCTGTTGATTTTTTTATGGCTTGGTTGTTTATTTTTATTAAAAATAACACTACTATTATTCTAAACTTAATCTTAAGTCCCTTTTTATATTGAGGGAAAATGGAAGAAAGCGGAAAATTACATCACTTTTACTAATTATTTTATTTATTTTTTTTTTCACTCTTACCTAAAACATATATATATTTTTTTAATCTATATTAATTTTTTATTTTTTATTTTTTTAATTTCATAAACCCTAACCTATATATTAATTTTTAAGGTCGTTATGGGTGTATGTCTTCTGCTAATACAGAGCAAAAAGGATTTGTCTCCAGTCTATTGACTGCGAAATCCGCTTTAAAAAAGGAGTTAGAGATGCTTAAAAGCGAAAGTGAACCACCTGGAAAGAGAAAATAATCTGAAAAAAATTTTAAAAAGCGTAGAGCACAAGGATTAAACTCTTCTGCGCGCTACAAACGCTAACTCTTATTACGCGTTACAAACTTAGGCAAGGCTTGAATTTAAAGAGGATACGTTGGAAGACAGTGAAATGAAGAGAGCCCCTCTAGTAGCAGTAGTGAAATATATAATAGTTATAACTTTATTAATAGTAATAGAAATAATAATAGTAAATTCTTTAAAGATAATAATAAAAATAGTAATAAGGACATTAGAAATAATATTAAGAACGATGGTATTAGAATATTTATAATAATAATACTGAAACTGGTAACTATATTAGAAATAGTAATAGTAATTATAGTAATAATAAAGCTAACAACGTTGAAAATAACAGTATCATTGACGATAAAGACACTAATAATTATAAGAACCATAAAAATGCATAATCCCTCCTATAACAACACGGAACAGAAAATTTGGAGTACGGTGTCCCAGTTAATAAGAACTAATAATATTGATGTTTTTAATGCGAAGAATTGGAGATATGGAAGAAGGGTCTTTGCATCCACCGAAAAGAAGTTTAGATAATTAACCTCTCTTCTGAATCCAAAATTGGTTGAATATTTTACATATCGGCTTCCATCTGAGAAAGAGCTTAAAGTAGTCTTAAGTGGTGTCTTTAAGGAATCGGATGAAAAGACATTAAAGAAAACCTAGAAAATTAGGTTGCCGCCCTACTAAGGTAATTAGAACGTGGAAATATAATCAAGTTAGAACCCATTACCCTGAGTTTAAGTTAAAGTACCCAAAAGTGGAAGTCTAAAAAGATTGGATGTATATCCTTCCCCGCCGAACCTTTAAAAATGAATGGTAGAATTGGACGATGTTTTCGCTACCAGTTATATGACTCCACAGAAAATGCTGCACTTCTCAGTGCCAATGCGTTAAATGTGATGGAAATCATGACTCTAAACGAACCTGAAAAAAAAAAAAAGACGAGAAGTCAACATGTGCCAACCGCAAGGGTGAAACCCTGCTAGCTATCGAGGCTGCCTTTATTACCCGTAAAAATGCACCTCGTAGAAAAAAACCTTCTGAATGCCTTTCGGTTGCTTCAAACACATTTTGCAACAAGCAAAACCCACGCTCAGGCGACAGCAGCCAGAGCCGCACAAATTTTCACTAACTTGGATGAGATTATAATAAAACAAATTGTTAATTCTATAACGGAAGCAATTAGTACCCAAATCTCTGTATTGATAAGCGACTTATTTTCAAAATTAAACAATTGACAATGATTGAAAAAAATAATATAAAACTTTTTTAAACTAATTATGGATATTATTAACTTTACACTAATATCTGAAACACTCACTTGAAGAGGTGGTAATAGGTTTTGCACCCCAAATTACATAACTTATCGAAAGACCGTTGCTGTATGGGGGAGGAGATGTAGTCATTCTTATAAAGAAAAACGTTAGAAGGCTCTTTTTTGGAGTATCTTGAGCTATAGAGTATATAAGCAACTGGCATCCGGACTAAATTTAGATAAGCAGGTTCTTATGCTTGTTTCTTTAACATTTTATCTACTTATAAACCTCTAAATAAGGAATTGAATACCAAAGATTTGGATATGCTGTTTGACGATGACCGTTCAGTCGTTGTTGGTGGAGACTTAACTGTCAACATCCTTCTTGGAAAAGCAGAGTCGAAAATCCTATCAGTAAAATACTAGAACCGGGGTCAGAAGGGAATGGTGAGTTAGTATTGACCCCTTCTGAACCTACCCACCTATCAACTCCAGGCTCGAGGCTCGATGAATGTACTAGAGAAAGTCCTTTTAAAAAACGTATGTGTACCTGGTGCTTGCTAAATCCCTCAACGAAATATCTTCTGGCCATCGCCCAGTCCTGTGGAAGTTGGAGAAGATTTCTTGGACACAATTGAAAAATTTGTAAAAATTACTGATTGGGTCCGGGCTCTTTTTAAAAAATCTGTAAGCGTTCTATTATTACCCCTCTTGCCTTATCCATCATGTTACCCTGGGGTTAACAGGGCTACCTCTGCCTTTAAAGGCTTTGCTGTCAATTCTTTAAAGTACACAACCGTTCTTAAGCCTT